AGCATTTTTCACTCTAAGTCAAACCATGTCATTCTTTCCTCTTAGAAAACTCCAGTTGCACGTTCTGCACATGTATCCCAAAACCTAAAATGCAATAAAAAAAGAAAGAAAAGACAACTCCAGCTGCTTATATGGTTCACTAAGAGAACAATATAAGCTCTTTCACAGGGTCCCCAAAGACTCTACAAGACCTGCCCTCTGTTTACCATCCCAGCCTAATCCTATGAGATTCTTCTTGCTTTCTGGCTACAGGCACACTGGACTCCTCTCATGGTCTACATCACACTAACTGATGATTTAGACCTTTGCACTTAATTTTTTTGTTCCCTCTGAAAAGTACTTATACTATTTTCATGCCTGACACCTTTAGGTCTTAGCTTAAAAGACTTCCATGAACACCAAATCTGAAATAGATCCCTCACCCAATTTTTTCTCCCTTTTAGCATGCTATTAGATTATCCCATAGCATTTTCATTTAATTATTTTATTATTTCTTTGTTATTTTCATCTCTCTATAATGCTTAGCTATAAAGTGTGTGAGGGCTCACGTCAGATCACAATGATAACTTCACAACCTTACATTGTTCCTGACATATAGTAGTCTTTCAATACAGACTGATTTCACAAAATGAATTAATGCAAGAATGGGACAAATTGGAAGCGAATGAAGCTTTACATTGCCGAGAAGCACTCTTTTCATCTATGTATTTTTAAAACGATTTCTCTATTGACATTTAATTAATAAGACTACCACATGACACCTTAACTTTTCAATGGAGATACATGGATCGTTTAAAAACGTTGTAAACACAATTTGATTTTATGAGAAAAATATTCCAGCTTAACCCAAATGCATGTAATATTCTCTGTTTTCTTTACTATTTGAAAAGTTATTAAAGCTTTAGAACAAAAGTTCTCATTTCACTCCTTTAGAGAAAATGTGGTTTTGCTTATTTTAAATACCTACTTAATTTAGTAACAAGAAAGCATGTTCAAGAAATTTGACCCTTGATAAATAGGGGGATGCAAGAATGCCTCAGAAGTGGATATAGCAATAGACTGGCTGCCTAACTAAGGTTTTAAACATGAGGGTGTGAGTTGTGACCTTACCAAGGAGTAGCTATAAAATTGGTGGGGAATTCTCTGAAACTTTTCTCAGCCTCTTTTCTAACAGAGGGATGATGCCTGCCCCACTTATCTCTTTGTGTCGGTGTAATGAGTAAACAAATGTGAAGTCACTAATGTGAAGTCCTGCTATGTTAGTAAGCAACTTCACAAAATTGCTAAAATTCCTCATTCCATTTCATAGAGGTTGTGGAAGATGATTCAGAGGCAACGATCTGTATTTGAAACATTTAATATTCTAGATCATATGCCTCAGAAGACTGAGATGCATGAAAGGCTGTGCAACCCTTCAATAAATGAAAAATGAGTAAAGGCAAGTTTCCTAAAACATTTCCTGGTAGTTAGTAAATACCTTAGCTATGCACTTTTAAGACAGCATGTAACAGTGTTGAAAGTAAACACGGGCTACAGGATTATTTTCTGGCTCTTTTGTGCTATGTCTAAACAGGTGCAAGCTACTTCAGGATGATAGCAACTGATGTGTCAGAGGTTGAAAGGACTACATCCCTCAGCAGTCCCAAATCAGCTTCTCTCACCATGCCTCCTTCCCTCTCTTTTCACCGTTTCCCCCTTTCTTCTCCAGTGGGAGAATGTAGGAGACAAGGGAGAGGAGATCCTGGAGGGATGTAAAAAAAAAAGGAAACCATTTCAGTTCCTTTTATTTCCCTATCGCAAGCTGTGCTGCTGAGTTAAAAATACGTAATTTAGTTTCCAAATCTATTTCAACCCCTGCCTGGCCTACTGAGCAATCACAAACTATCCAATTTCAATTCAAATCTTTGCTTTTAGCTTTGTTTGAAATGGAACACAGAAAAGTTGTATAAACAGATATAAGTAAATGCCCCACAAAGAGCCGGAGCAGGATTATAGGAACCAGGAAGTAAATCCATATTTATAGCCTACTAGTCAAAATCTGGATTGTTTTTATTTTATTTTTAAAATACCAAACTTTCCACAGCATATGCAATGTCATAAAAGGGGTCTGATTTGTGGTATCTAAGAGTCTGTGCCAATGCTTAAGTTTCTCACTGTTTTCAGTGGTACACATTTACAACTTCATGTAAACAGATAACACATTTTCTGCAGGTGAGAATCACTATTCCTCTGTAGCGCTGGGAATACTGCGCATTTACAGAGAATGACCTACTGCTAAAAAGTGAATCACATCTACCACAAACATTTATCAGAAAAGCCAAGAAAGAAAGAAAAACCCATGTTTTGCTACATAGTAAATGTTTAAATGGTTAATCAATTGCTAATGCTGGAAGTCATGTTAATTTAACTCCTTCTCATAAAACTCTGAAAATATTTTCAGGTGGGTAATGCAGATCACTTGGCAGTGACAAGTTAGATGACGAATAATGTCCTTGAGACGTTTAGCAGAATTACGATCAACCAAAACCGAGTAAGGTCTCACATAGAATGTTTTCACTAATGTTATTGTCAATATAATGCTAAATGGTAAAAATAATCCATCTACAATGGATCCCTTCTTCCTTTTGAATTATAACTTGCATTACAGCCAGCTGGGCAGGTATTACTTTAAATTTCAACATTTATAATAAAACAATATAATTTCCGTTCTAACTTTTCACTTTGATTTATGTTCTGGTATATCAATTTTCTGATGAATATTTAAACTACATGGGACTGGATACTTGTCTTATTTTTTTCTTCACTTACAATGTCAAGTTTAAAACATGTATGGGCAGATAAATCCTCTTTTATTAATATAATACTGCCTTAAATGGTATCACATCATCTGAACCATTCTCCACAACACTATTTTTGATCTAAAATGGTAATTTCCCAGTCACTTATGGAAGATCATGCATTGACAAATGATTCACCTCTTTTCAGATTTGCATGAAGGCAAATGCAGTGCAGGCAACCTATCCCTGGAGAGGCAACATGAAAAGAAGCAGGAGAAACTTTCCTCCTTCTCACTGTCAATATACAAATGCTGGCTGGGAGTGGTGGCTCATGCCTGTAATCCCAGCAGTTTGGGAGGCAGAGGATGGTGGATCACTTGAGGTCAGCAGTTCAAGACCAGTCTGACCAATATGGTGAATCTCTACCAAAAAGTATATTTAAAAAAAAATAGTTGGGTGTGGGTGGCATGCGCCTGTAATCCCAGCTACTTGGGAGGCTGTAGCAGGAGAGTCGCTTGAACCCAGGAGACAGAGGTTGCCATGAGCCCAGATCATGCCACTGCACTCCAGCCTGGATGACAGAGCAAGACTCTGTCTCAGAAAAAAGAAAAAAATACAAATCCTGAATGAATACCCTCAATTGGCTTCCCATAACCTTCTTATAAAATCCAAGAAAATAATGGTTTGGAATTCAGAAGACCTGATTTCATCCTCTCATTAATATACTATGTGCCCTTATAGACATCACTTTCCCTTTCTAGACCTCAGTGTCCCCATTTGTTAAATGAGACTAGACTCCAAAAAAGTCCCAATTCTACTGTATCCAACTCCATTTTATCTCCACCAACTCTTTCTAGCCTCAGGCCATACTCCTACCTCACATCACATGCTGTCCTGCTCCCCATTCTTACTTTCTCCATTCTCCCAGAATCTCCTCTTCCACACACCCTCAATAGGAAGCATAAAGTTGCTCCATGCTTCTAATATTAGATGATACTCATCATGTAATATCTGATACCACTCCCATCTGCATGGCGTTGTCTTTTAAATACACAGCCTGCCCTGGGTTTACATCCTTCTACTCCCACTTACTAACTTCGAACTTGTACTAGTTACTTAAATTTCTAAGCCTCAATTTCCTTATCTGTAAAGTGGGGATAGTATTGGCTTTCAAAGGATTGTTGTGAGGGTTAAACAGAGTAGTAATATCTATAAAGTGCCTGGTATATGTGAACATGTTATTAAATAAATACAATATTACTGGTTGCTATTATTGTCACCACTTGAATGTAAGCTCCTTTAAGATAGAATCTTTGTCTTGTTCAACTCATTTGCTGAAGGGTAATTAATGCAGTGTACTGTAAAGAGCAGGGAATTTGAGATCAAAGAACTTGGGTCAAACCTGTGAATGGGACCGTAGCAAGTGATTCGTCCTTGTTGAACTGGGCTGAGAAGCTGTTTGAGGTTAAGAACTGTGTCTTACGATTTCTGTGGACCTAGTGCCTAGCACAAAGCTTGGCACATAGATTTCCATTATATATGCAAAGGAAATATGAGTATAAAAAAGAGCAACAGTGTTGTTAATGGATGTGCCTCTATTAAGTCCTTTAAACCTATTTTGTTGAAGAAAGCAAGCTGAAACATCTCTGGCTTTAAAGTCTTAGGAGGAAAGCAAATGACACATCCCCAAAAAAGAAAGAAAGAAAAAAGCATCCCGCTGTAGAAGAGAAAAGGAAAGGTCTGGGTTCTCTAGCATAGCAGGCAGCTTCATGCCCCAGATTCATGTCCTAGGTAGAACGCTGGCCAAGGTTTTGGCAGAGACTTGGACACGTGGGAGGAAGAGGGACTTCGGTTCAGCTGCCTCAAGTGCAACCTGCTCTGAGCTAAGTGGCCAGGTTCAGGGAAACTATTCTCAGCGAAGAGCAGCCAGGCAGCTGAGCCTAGAGTTCCCATTTTTGACTCTTCCTCTCCAACCTCCCCCACCCAGCAGTCAGGTCCCGGGAGGTAATTAGTGTGGGGGAGAAGCAAAGCTTCTGAGGGGGCAGGGAGATGGGAAAGTACGGGTGGAGGCGGTCTTCTTGTCATAGGTCTCACCAAGAGAGGAGAGATAGAGATTTATTTTTGCACGTGAGGCATACCTAATGATATTCCCACAGACAGACAGACAGGCAGACCAAGAGAGGGACAGACAGCACACACTTGAGCGTTTGAAATCGTTCATACCCCCAAATCCAGGACGCAGCCTGTTGTCATAACCATCGAGCAAACTGTCCAGGATGCGGGTGAAATTTTCTGTGCACAATTTCTCCTCCTTTTGGTTCTGTCCTGGGGATTCGTTTAAACTGCAAGAGAGAAAAAAAAAAAAAAAACGGGGGCGGAGGAGATTATTTTAAGAACCCATCAAAGAACAGGTGCAAACAGGTTTGTTTTCTAGGGAAAGAATCGCTTGCCCCAAGCTAAAGGCGACGAGGCTGGGGGTTGGGATGCAGAAGACAGAAATGGTCCGGAAAAGCGCGCCCCACCACAAGACCCCCAGTGCCCACACGCCTCTTGCGCCCCGCGCCCTTGGTGCTCTCAGCATCTATGCGGTCACAGAAAAGCCTGGCTTTGGCCCGCGATCTTACAGCTGAGATGAGAAGATCTAGTCCACCCAAGGCGGAGCGAGTGCCCGAAGGGGTCCGGGAGCTGGCCATTTCTCCACTTTCCAGTCGCCCACCTCCCTGCACACCCCAGAGAACTCACCAAACCGCCAGGCACAGGAAGCGCAGGAGGGCGAAACTGACCCCGGCGGATAGAGCGATCGCGGGTACCTTCTTGGCAGAAACCATCTTTGCAACATGCCATACTTCAAGCCTGTTCACGTTTCCAGGCTCTTCAGATGCCCTGAGCAGGGTGCGAGGAGAGGGCAGAGAGGCTCCCGCGGCGTGCGCACACTCGCGCTCACACTCGCCCGCGCTCAGCCAGCCCGAGCCGGGGTGGGCGTGTGTGTGCACGGGGCCAGGGGAGGCGGAACCTGCCTTCCTCGCCCCCTCCTTTCTCGCTCAGCGTTCAATGTGTATGTAGAGCTATGTATACCGCTCCCCACCCTTTCGTGCCCGCGCGCTGGAGGTTCTGGGGTTCGCATCCGCGAGCTCGCGCTGCAAGACTCGGCAAGTTTGTTCCGACTGTAACTCCGGGCATGAGGACCGGGGTCTCTCGCCCCTCCTCCGGCTCCGCAGCCCCTCACCCCAAGTGGGCTCCCGCCCATAGCAGTGCTCGGCCTCCTCCCTCCTGGCCCCCTCCCTTCCGCTGGGATTTGGATCTAACCAATGAAGCTCCTCTCTCATCAGGTTGTGCGAGGACCTGTTTGTACCCAGAGTCAAGGTTGGAGGTGGAGAAGGGGTGGGTGGCGGGGACTGCTGGGCGTGGGGTGGGAGGAAGTGATGAGGAGGGCGGGGGTCAAGTCCAGGCTCAATCGACCTTTGAGACCCTCCCCTTCAGGTGTTGTGGAGGGCGGTAGGGAGGGCGACGGAACCAAAAAGATTCTTCCTGGTAACAGGGGTTACCACTCACCGAGCGGACTCCCGCCAAACTATTGCAAAGTGGACTCCAGCCGCACCCTAGTCCCAGCATTTTCTAAGCTATGGCTTTAAAGCTTCTTTACCCGCCTCCACTGGACAAGCGCGCACCCTCCGCTTTGCTTCTCCATCCTTTTCTGGAGAGGAGCGGAGAGGTGGAGACAAGCGACCTCTTGTCAAAATCACTTTCACTTCTTGCGACACTCTTCTGTTTCAGAATGGAGTTGACTTACTTCCAGAGGTTGACCGCTTTAGGTAGGGGGAAAGGACGGCTGGAGAGAGGGAGAGGGGGAAAAAGAGAAAATGTGTGTGTGACAGAGGCACACACACAGAGAGAAGGTGGGGTGTGGAGAGAAAGGATACATAAATTGAAATGGAGAGGGACAAATCTTAGTTCCTTTGGGACGTGAAAGGGATCACTAAGCTCTATATCTTTAGTGTTTTACTGAGCAAAGGTAAGCATTCCCAACAGATCTTTGAAAAGCATTTATTATTGGCTTCAAGGGGGGAAAGCGTCTTTCACATTAGTAATGATGCATGTGGAAATTTTCATATGATGGACCAATGAGCTAAGCAATTCCCATAAACTGGAAACAAACACCAATTAGGTTCTATTCGGAACTCTGATGACTTGTTCAGATTTGGATGACTAGTGGACGGGTATGAAGTGGGAACGCATTATATTAGACAGAGGTTTGGGTTTTTTGTGTGTTTTAAACGTTTGGATTCAAGTTTTCTTTCTAAGGGAAAGCCAAAAGTGCCCATCATGCGCAATAGCCAGAGCTCCGTGCTCTGTGTTGTGTACTGCTTCCTTCATGGAATTTGTCACACTTCATCCTAATTCCATCTCTATCATTCTTTTCTCATAGACTGTAGTCTCTCTGAGGGCCTGGGCTGGGTAATTTTTGCTCATCTGTGTTTATTTTATCTGTTGCTACAGTGCATGCCACATAGAATGTCAATAAATATTTATCGAATGAACAATTAAACAAAGCAATGAATTGCTTGTTCCCAGATCCATCTTATAAATTTGGATGAGGTTCAAACTCTCTCTTTTGGGAAACAATTGAAGTACTAGTGCATCCTCCAAAATATGCCATGAATGCACTGGTCATCACGGATTCTCCACATATTACATTATTTCTCCAATCTGAATACTTTCCTACATTTTTAAAAAGCGAATCTAGCTCTGTTGCCCAGGCTGGAGAGCAGTAGTACCATCATAGCTGACTGCAGCTTCTACCTTTTGGGCTCAAGGGATCTTCCTACCTCAGCCCCTAAGTAGTTGGAACTACAGGTGTGTGTCACCATGCTTACTCAATATATATTTATGTTTATTTCTTTGTAGAGATGTGGAGGCTCTGCAGTGTCACCAGGCTAGTTTCAAACTTCTGGCCTCAAGTGATACTCCTGCCTCTGTCTCCCATAGTGCTGGGATTACAGATGTAAGCCCAACCCCTTCCTTACATCTCTAAGCCTTTTCCTATACTTTCTAAAACCTAAATTGGTATTTGCTAAACTACTTTCCCTTGCTATTTTTATTTAAAAAATATACATTTCAAAAAATAAACAACCTAAAATAATGGCTTTGGAGAAGAAGTTACATATTGTTAAAGATAAGTATCTTTAAAATTCAAATTTAAAATCTATGAAACTATTATATTCAAATTAAAAGAACATTCTTTCAGAGGAGCTACTTCCAGTTATATTTTTGTTAACTGGGTTATAGTATTTAAGTTCAGCTGAAGATAATACTAAAGACATTTTATTTTATTTTACAATCTTTCATTTATGTTACTTTTGTATTACTGCAAGAAAACATATGTTGAATTTCACTGCCTGAAATCTTTAAAAAAAATTGCCTATTAACATGAAAGGTTTTTTTGTAGAACTCTAACATCCTGAAAAGTTACAATTTACCTTAACTTACAAATATAAATATGCTATTTTTCCATGTAAACCCCTATTTGTGATAGCCCAGGATTGTGAATGAATTATACTACCCTCAAATATCATTATGTTAAGCCAGTCACATTTTAAAAATTAAACAAATGGGTTTGCTTCAGATATAATAAGTTGCAAATAATACAGACAGCCAACTGCTAAAACCTTAGGATGGACCCTTCAAAGTCCACAATGCCTTGTGGACTATGAAATGCCTTGAAAATAAACACGAAATTTTGTTTTTATGTAATGCAATTTTCTGTAAGACTGTTTATCTCCAATCAAGTTCTTATAGACCATGGACAACTACAGTATGGACCAACATTTTAATATAAAAAAAAAACGCTAGAACATGCAACCAAACAAGTGAATGAATATTGGTAATTAATGTGTGATAAACATCTCTATCTCATTTTATAAGCTTGCCCATTGCTGGTTTCTATAGACTATCATGTAGATTGTAAATCTCTTGTGGGTACTCGGTCCCATTTATTGTCAATTTATCATATGTCCAATGAGCTTGATACACAAAATATTTGAGTCATAATGAAGTAAATAATTTGAAATAGTTCAACCTGTTCCTCTTTTTTTCAAAAAAATTAATTCTTTCTGGTAAATATTGAACCAATTGTAACCATTTGAGTAGGTTACTGGTATGAATTATTGCTTTAAGTTCTGAAGGTTTGTAGATGTAGACCCAGTTTGAAACATTTCTGTTCCAAGAATTTAGAAGCTATTGACAATTTTAGATTAATGTATTTCTCTGCCCCTTGTATTTAGCATAGGTGAGAAGAATTGATTTGATATTCTCTTAGTTAATGCATTTCCTTTTTTGTATTAAAACAGTGTTTCTATTGAAGTATTACCTGTATATCAGCCTATTATCATTGTCGAGTTATGGATTTTTTTATCTTCATTCATTTCTTATTGTATGTATTTGAGGTATACAATATGATGTTTTGATACACATATATATATATAGTAAAATGACTTTTACAGTCAAATTAACATATCTACTCTCAGCAAATTACTGTTCAGTGCACAGTGAAATATTATCAACTATGGCTTCATGCTGTACATTAGATCTTATCATCATATATAACTGTAACTTTGTACACTTCAAGCTCTATCTCCTAAATTCCCCTCCCCACTATCCCTTCTTTGGTAACTACCATTCTACTCTCAGTTTCTATGTACTTGGCTATTAACAGATTCCACAAATAAGTGAGAACATTTCATATTTATTTTTCTGCACTTTCTGTGTCTGGCTTATTTCAGTTAGTATATGTCCTCCAGGTTCATCCATGTTGTTGCAAAGGACAGTATCCTTTCTTTTTTAAAGCACATATATATGTGTGTGTACATGTATCATATATATATATATATATATATATATGCACACATTCATCCACTGATGGACACACATAGGTTGTATCCATATCTTGACTATTATGAATAATGCTGCAATAAACATTAGAGCTCAGATATCTCTACAAGATGCTGATTTTATTTCCTTCAGAAATATGTCCAGAAGAGGGATTGCTAGGTCATATGATAGTGCTACGTGTTTTTTTTTTGAGGAACCTCCATACTGTTTCCGCAATAGCTGTACAAATTTACATTCCCACCAACAGCGTACAAGGGTTTCCTAATCTGAGAGAATTTAACATACTGTATTTGACTAAACATCTCATAATACCAGTTAATACTGTTGTCAAAATAAGAACTTTTTGCCATATAGTTAATGTAAATTTAGTTATTTCAGAGAAATTACTTTAAAAATTAAATTAGGACAATATTTTACCTGAATAAACTCTACATATGATATTTGGAAGTTCAACTATTATAGTATATATTTTAATTATTAATTATGTTTTATAATTGTCTGAGATCAAGTTGGACATTAAGACAGTATATCAATACTAATAGTCTCCAAGCTCTCACATTAATTTAAATTATATTAGGAAATATTAGTTATTCAATATTAACTTTTATTTTATTTGAAAGTCTGATTTTTAAAATAAGTACAAAGAATACAATTTAATGGAATACAATCCAAGTAATTCATTTAATAACTACTTTTTTAGGCTCAATTGAAAATGTCTAATAATATGTGAAGAATTATTTTATTTGTCAGAACTTGAATTCTGAAATAAGCTCTCAGAATAAGTTTAGAAGTACTACTTCAAAGAGCCATGATTCTGTGTGTGTGTGTGTGTGTGTGTGCACATGTGAATGTGCTATAAACCCTGTACAGAGTACTAATTATTCCTTTAATTATGTTAGTGTATGTATGGTATGTGTGTATTTTTAAAGTTTCTGGAAAAGGTACTATTATTAAGAAATAGATTTATTTTCAGCACCTAATAGTAACAGT